TTCTTGCACTAAATTGGTTTTCTGTTTTGACTAGCTGTATAGGTATTGAGCAGAGATAAACTGAAGTCAAAATTGAATAATGCCTTGCCACTTCTAGCACTATCAGTTTCTCTAGGAACTATATTTTCAAGTCAGCACCACTTTACTGCTCTCCTCAGCCCAGCATTTCCTACAGTGCTCTGTGGTTAGCCTACCTGATAACTTGATCTTATTTTCAGTTTGCAGATGGCCCATAAAGCAATTTTGCTTTTGCCAAATACTTTTTCTTCCCCAAAAAACAAATTTCAAGCTCTGTTATACTCAGAGATTACTCACTTTTGGCTGAGGGGGTCCTGTCACAGGAACAGCTGTGAAGTCACATGCTGCTGATGTGGCTTCTGGATCAGTTATTTAAGCAGTTGGAGCCAGAGGAAGGTGCACAGCCTGACACCTTCATGTTCACACTTGAGCAGGTGTGTTTGGGGCTGAACTCCCACTGCTGCTCAAATCCCAGGGCAATACTTCTCTTCCCTGCAATCTATTGAAACTGAGCTGATTTCAGAATCAAAGGCAGTTCAGTTAAGGAGCAATTAACCACAGCCTTTACCTGCTCCCAGGCTGAGAGAGAGTTGGAAAGAGCAGAGATGCCTTCAGCATAGAGACTGCCTCTGGGAGGAGAGCCTTGGGAGCACCTGTCCTTCCAGCAGTCCTGTGCCCCCTCCTGAGTTTGTCGTTTCTGCTTCTATGCTCCCCATGCCAGCAGTGCCAGTGCCAGCCACCAAGCCCCGGCCACAAAGTCCCCCAGGAGCTGAAGTTTCCAACACGGGCACTAACATGCTGATCCCAGCACCCTAAGTAATGGTATGATCCGCAGGCATCCTCACTGCCTGATATCATTAGAAACCTCTGGTTTATCTTTACAAGTGTGCAAGGTCAAAACACCTGAGCAGGGGTGTTCTTTCCCTGCTTTTCAGTGCAAAGGTCTGGGCAGAGTAAGAACAAGCTGTGCCTATGACTACGGATGTTGGAAGCTGCTATCAGACACCGAGGCACTGGAACACAGCGTTGCTCCCAACTCTGACTGATGATGACTCCCAGGACTCCACTCTGACCTTGACTGTCAGCGTCTCGGTGACATCCCAGAGCACTCCTCACCCCTCCTGCTATTCTCTCTTTTATCATTAAGGAGAATCACACATTCGCAATAGCTCCCTACAGCTTTCTGTGCCCCATCCCGTTATGTGCCTGGCTGAGAGCACTCAAGGCTATGCAGCTTTTTGGGTCACAGTGGGGTTCAAGCAGCGCCAGGTAGTGTGTCAGGCTGTCTCTGAGCATCCCGACCGCTGGTGCCTTTCAAGCAGCCGCTTTAGAGCACCGCTAAGGATTGTCTGCTTCAAACACTGCATCTCTCCATCCCTCCAACCGGGATGGGACCGCTCCGCTCTCCAGCAGCAAAAGCCCCGTGCGGAGGGCAGACTCGGGATCGCTGCTTGCTTCCGAAGGAGCTGCAAATGAGACCGAGCGCTCCGGTTCTTCCTTCATCCCAGAGAGCCCAAAAGCGAGGTGCGCTATGCGAAGCCCCCTCCTGTCCTGTCCCCATCCCTTCCTGACTTTCCCATCCCTTTCGGCGCCCCCAGCCGCTCTCCCTGCCCCCATTCTCCCCCGATAACGATTACCTGCAGCTGCAGGGAGTGCTGTCCGCCGGGTCCGGAGCCGTTCCGCTCCCCCGACGCTGCCGCGCTGCTCCGGTTGCAGCCGCCCGGGCCGCTCCCCGCGCCGGGAGCGCACCCCGAGCTCCGCCGCTTCTCCCCCCCCCCCCCCCCCCCCCCCCCCCGGCGGCGGGCGGGGACGGCGGCCGCTCCCCCGGGGAGGAGAGACGGGGCTCCGGGCCGGGGCTGGAAGGAGGGAGGGAACGGAGTGGAGGCAGGGGAGGGTGCTACAGCCCGGGAGGAGGCAGCCTGAGGCCGCCCCCGCTGCAGAAAGTTGGGCTGGAGGTAGGGAGCCGTCGGGATGCTCCGCGCTCTCCCCGCATACCCGTACTTCCTCCCCGAGCTCCTTTACCTGGCTGCGCCTCCCCCGCTGCTCCATCCTTCGGCCCCTGAGAGCCTGCAGCCCCCCCGGCACGGGCGAGGGCTCTGCGCTTTGCGGGGGGAGCTGGGAGGGGCTGGCAGCACCCACGCCGTGCCGACAGAGAAAGGGCACCAAAGGAGAGCTGCATTTCCTCCCCCGGTTTAATTCTCTCCCAGTTCCGAGAAGTGCTTTTAAAGACTCCCGCAGGCTCATTTGGAGCGAGCCCCCTCCCTGAGCGCAGGGCACTCGCAGCTTCTCCCCCGAGCGCACAGCACCTGACCGTGCTCGCTCCTTGTGGGGCAATGAGACGGGACCGTCGTGTTCGTCACCTTTGTTTTATACGCCTGTCCCTGAGCACGGAGCGTGGGACAGGCTGAGCGACAGGATCGCGGCCAGCACCCTGCAAGAGCTTCAGTCCTACGTGGGGGGGGGCTGGAATCTCACATCGCCAGCTAGCAGAAAGATGCAGGGCTTGGTATGCAGGCTGTCAGGCTAAACTTGGTGCTTGCTTTACTCCCTCCCAAACTCCCACTGACTTCGCTGGGGTTCCGCTGAGATATTTTGCTCTTTGAATGCAACAAGTGAATTCGAGCTGTATTCCACCCTCTCCCTTCACTGTTACACATGTGAACACCCATAGTGGTGCCATCCAGAGCTCAGCCTGTCCCCTTGCACACGTTATGGGGTCAGAGCAACAGCTGTGCTCCCTGCAAACCCGGGGCTCCCAGCCCTGCCAACAGCTCCTGCTGTCATCAGCATGCACAGGATGTCGTGCTTCGTAATAATGTATATGATCTTAATCCACTGCTGAGGCTTTTCAATTAGAGATCTGTGATTGAGTCAGATGTGTGAATGCAAAAAAGAGAGGAGAAAGCTGCTTTTGGCATGTCACTTTCTAATTCAATCTGCTGATGTATTTATGGTCATGTATTGCTAAATTGAACTAAGACTCCAGTCTGCTCTTGCCATGACAATGGGGAGAATCATCTGATAAAAATAGACTTGGGATGATAAACAGAAGAGGAGAGGAGATTTTGATTACCTTCTTTGAAAATGTGCCAAGCAAAATGCGATACAATAGCCCCACTGTGAATATCAGCTTGAATCAAAATAGGGCTAATTTAATGAATTTCCCTCATATATTTTATTAGCATTTTATTAGCATTTGTGACACAAAAAAAAAAGTTGCCGAGAAAACATGAAAGTCACCAACTGTCCCCGATGAAAACAGCTGCCTTTGCACCTTGCCAGCAGTATTCCTAGCAGGATCTGCGCTGTGACAGAGAAAGTTTCCAAAAGCTCTCATGGCTTATGGAATTCTTTACCCACTTGAGACAATGGCAACACTGTATTTCTGGACCAAAGAAGGCAGCACAAGGGCTAACTGTGCACACTACCTGTTGCCATGCTTTTAGTGGCTGATGGCCCCACTCAGAGACCAAAGTTCAGCAATGCCAGACCTATAAACATGGGGAGAAAAATAGCTCCTGGCACAAAAATGTGGGTGCACACAGGACTGGGCTGCCCTAGCTGAAACTCAAATCACATTATTATTTTTTTTTCCTCATCTTTCTGCAAAAATACCTCCCAGATAGCCATGATTTGGATACAAGCCTATTTATTTAGCTGTTCCTTGTCGCATACCAAAGTTCAGTGTCATAACGCGATCCCTCAACACTTCTTTTCCAACTGTGATCTTGAGTGATGATGAAACTGCTGACAAACGGTTGTACTACATTTTAAAACGGTGTCTTCTTGTAACACGAAGGAGGTGACAGCTCCAGAGGAGCTGCAGGGACAGGTTGCACGGGAAGTTCCTCCTGTACCTTTGGAACCAGCTTGTCAAAATTCAGCTGAAGCAGAAAAGATGAGTTGTGATCAATATGTTTAGAAGGAAGAACTGCTGGAGAGCTCGTGTCAGCAGCCGCTCCTGTTGAACCTGGCAGTGAGGAACAGAGACTGATTGCTGCCGAGGGGGAAATTATCTGTGCATAAGACACCCCAGCATTAGACTTGGGTCCAGAACTGAATTAGATGGAAGTGTTGAAACAGAAGACTTGGGGCTGGATTGCCTCTGGTTATAAGAACCATGGCAGTGCAATAGTAATATCTTCCAAATTCAGAGATCAGAGGAAGTGAGAAGGAACAGAATGTGTTTTACTCCCAGTTCATTTCTGGAGCCATTGCACTAAAAACTGATTGTATGTTAAGGATCTGCTCCATGGTGAGGAGAAAAGTATGTTCTTGGCTAAGAGACCCATCCTAACTCATCCATTCCTCACCCCCACAAGACTCCCCAGAGCATGGGACAGTGGGGCTGCAGTGGGGCAATCTGCAACACCAGGAGTTGTGGGGAATGAAGCTGTGGCTCCTGAGACTCAATTTGCCTCAGCCTGGAGGCTAAGATATATTTTCCTCTGAGGATTCTAAGATTTTTAAATATGTATATATTTATTTTCTTAATATTGTCAGTTTTGAGGAAAAGGACATGCATGAGGATTGGAAGGAGGCCATCAAGCCTATGGGGTGAGAATGGCTGCTCTTTGAGTTTTCAAACCCAGCTGAGATTTGGGCTATAATTTAGTCCTGAGCTATTCATGTTACCATAGAAATAGATGGATCCATTTTGTGCCATTTGCTGTTCAAAGCTTCAGACTACACAGTCTGCAGAAGCCCATCCATCACCTCTCCAACCTGAGGCCACAGCCATGGGGTTGAGTTTTCAATCTCTTCTTCTCCCAGAAACTCTACTTGCAGCAGAGATTTGTCTTCCTTTCTTTTGGTGATTGGTTTGCGTTCAGCTTAAACACTTTAAAGCTCGCAGAAAATGCTCAGCTTCTGACTGGAAGACAGTTACTCCATTCAATTACAATCATGGTTTGGCTGGCTGAAGCCAAATGTTTTCACTTTGCCTGCAGAATATGCTGTGAAAAGCCAAGCAGTGGGAATCACAGGGAGGTTGAGGTGTTTTCTCTCCTCTTTGTTGTTCTCCTTATGAGGAAGAAAAATCAATGGCTTTCAAATCAGCGCATTAAAAATCTCTCAAATGGGCTGTAATTACAGGCCCATCTGTTGCTGAATTGTTGAATTGCCTGTGGCAGAGATGCATAAAGATCTGCCTGGTTGGTCACTGCTGAGCAGCCCAGGATATCCCCCACAGTGGCAATGCACCCATGGATGGCTCTGACTTTTGCAAGTGCTCTTGCAGGAGAAAACATGGGCCAAGAGGCTGACTTTGCTCTTCTTCAAGTGTTTTTTTAACCAATAATTGCAGTTGATGAACTGTCCCTGTTTCTGGCCTGACTGGCTGTTATGTGAATCACTTTTTTGCCCAGTTCATTGATGATGAGTTTCATTGGCGACCTTGGTTGAAGAGACCATGGTGTTATGTATTGGTGTCATGCACTGTAATTCCCCACCACTCCTGTCCCTCCCCCTTCTCCTGTCCTTTATACAGCCCTCTCCAATGGCACAAGAGGTACTGGCAGACAGGAAGAGTTCTGGAGCTCTGATTTTCTAATCTTCTGTGATTAGGGGGTTTCTAGAGATGAAAAATCAATTTAAATAACGTTGTCTTCATCTCTCTTCTCTGTAGTCTTTAACTGGCATCCTAGAAGAGCCTCTCAGACAACTGTAGAGAATTTCAACACCGTATTGAAATGAAGAAGAAAATGGCAAGATATTCAGCTGCAAAGCAAATCTTTTCCAAAGAATCACTGGGTTCCATCAAATGAATGACACAGGAAAAATATTAGAGGTGACCAGTGTTTGGAAGCAGAATATGTATAAAAAGATGTTTGTACGTGCAATTTTTTTCCTGTTTTAAACCAGTGTACTTCTCTGTATTGAGTTCGGCACTGTTTTCAGAGATTCACTCTGAAAGACTATAATAAGACATGAGTAGATGCATTTTCATTTAATTAACAGACTTTGTTTTCAGAGAGATGAGGTCTACGCAGTATATTTTCTTCAGAATGTGACTTTCTTTCGTTGACCTTGTGCATGCATCTGTTAGGAGAAATGGAAGTTTGCATTTCTGAAAACCAGGTGATTTACAGCTCTGTAACGCAGGTGAAGAAATTTCTCTGCATTCTGGTGATTCTCTGAGTTATGCACTTGATCCTTAGGCAACATTTCTGTAAAAGGTTCTATTACTTGGCATTACGTGGCCATCCTAAAGAAGTGATAGAACCACACAAAACACTCCAGGAACCCAGATCTCTCAGAACCAGACTGATTTACCCTGAATCTTGCTTATCTTCTAACAGTGCAATGAAGAGAACCTCATTATTAACTATTAGGAAGCATTTAACCCTTTATAGCTATCTTCTAAGGAAAGTTCACTACATTGCTTCACAGTTGCCCTGCATAAATATCCTCCTCCTCTAATCAAGTCAGTGCTACTGAGGTGCTCAGAACTGAAATGGAGATTGCACTTGTTCTGTCATTTTCAGAAATTTGCTTTGTTGTGTGAGAAGTGGAGGTGATGAAGTTCAATAGGTCTCTTGTTCTCTCCGTGGTTTGCACTGCTGTGATTGTGAATGGGGAGCAAAGTGATGAGGTAACTTAATGATTCATTGTTCATTTTGTAGTTATTAATGGGATCAACATCCGGCATCTCAAGGCTCCAAACTTGTTTGGTTTTCTGCCAGATTCCTCATTATGCACAGGTAAACAC